CAATCTTTGCTTCCGGTTTGTTTTTTTTTTTTTTTTTTTTTTTGTTTTTTTATAAATCATTTTGCCAATAGTTGACAAATCATATGATAACCAGCTCTAATTAATAACTGGTCATGTGTATGTGTGCCAAAATCACATAAATATATATATATATATATATATATTTATACATTTATACATTTATACATATTTATATATATATATATATATTTATACGTATACACATTCATACAACTCTTAAAATGGGGATTTTTATGAGCAATTCATAACACAAGTGGTGAAATATTTTAGCACATGATTTCGTGTTTTGACGTCATAGAATTAAATAGAAAAGACACATCCATGACAATTTTAACTAAAAATAAATTTAATTTCCCACAATATGATTTAATAAAAAAACTTTCGTTTGACATTTTTTATGCCCTGGCAAATAAAATATTTTTTTTTCCAAAATATATTTTTTTATATACATTTAATTAGCACACCTTAATATGGGCATATTTTATTTCCTTTTTTTCCCATTATATATTTTTGGATTAAGTATTTATTGGAAATCTAGGAAATACTGAAATAAAAAAAAATTCAAAAATTTTCATTCAATATTTTTTTTTTGGCATGTGTAGTTTTTTATTCATTCCCGATTCCGTTGTTTAGTGTGTGTGTGAGATTTTGTAAAACTTTTTTGAGGTCAGTATTCTATTATTCAAATTTGAGAAAACAAATATAGATTTCAAATACTACCCAAATACAATATTTTGTTTTTGGTGGGCACTTTACTCTCAGTCGAAGTGATTCCACTATATAAATTAAAGACCACTAAAAACTATTTAAAACCAGTGAGCGGAGCAGTATAGTCGGACGGGGCCGACCATATGATACCCTACACAACTACCACGGAACTCGGATGTTTATTCCGAGCCTAGGCAATATTTCGTGATATTTGCCCCTACTTGCCCGATTAGAGGTCAACAGCACATCTTCCTTACATGTTCCGAATATTATAAATATTCAGTACAGCCCTTCTACTTACTTGTCCATATTCCTTTAACCGTGGGTTGAGTTGTGATGTTCGGCTTATATTCGACTAGAAAACACAAAAAGAAATTAAGTTTTCGGTCCACTTCATCCCAAAATTTTATTCTGATCATCACCGAAAATTATAGGCGTTATCCTTGGCCATAATTGGAACTTCATGGAAAATTTCAAAGCGATCAGCATTATATTTCCGCCCTCTAATGTGGTAATGGGTTACAAAATAATATCTGAATACCTAAGCAACAGTAAATATTTAAGTGTAACTCTCATATCCGAACACATACGACAATATAGTTGGTATCAATTTAAAGGCCAACAACTCCTCTTGGATATACCATCAACTTCTCGGTTCTATGTCCTTCAGGAGGAAATATATAAGCCATAGAATTCAAATTTTGTCATTTTTCACACAAAAGTCAGGGTCCATTTGACACGCTAAATATTGACCGATCTTTATCAAAACAGGCATGCTTATTATTTGGCCCGATCCCCTTCTCCATGCAAAAACACGCGATGTTTGGACCATAATTGCGGCCTCTGGAGCGACCAGAAAATCAGACAAAAATAAAGTTTTTGGTCCATTTCATCACCTTAATATTAACCGATCTTTACCAAAAACAATAGGGGTCTTCATTGGCCAGAACCCATCCTACATGCACAATTTCGTGAAGATTGCTCCATAACTATGGCCTGTATCGTGTTTACAAATTATAATGGACAGACGGGCAGACGGATGGACACACATATCTAGATCGACTCAGCTAGTCGAGATATGACGATCGGTATACTTGAAGGTGGGTCTAGGACCAATATTTCACGGCGTTACAAACTCTTGGGGCTGCTCAAAGTTATAATACCCTGATAACATAGTTGTGTAGGGTATAAACATTGGGTTTTTGAACACTTAAAAAACAGGCATATTTTTATACCCTTCACCACACTGTGGTATAGGGTATTATGTCTTTGTGCATATGTTTGTAACAGGCAAAAGGAATCGAGATAGACCCATGGTTCCTTTTGAGAATATGCAAAGAATCACTTTTTAAGTCCATGTATGCATGTCCGTCTGCCCATGTTAAATAGTAAACAAAGTACAGGTCGAATTTTTGATTCGAATTGGAGAAAATTTGGCAAAGCTCATTCATTTGGCCCATATATAGTTTCGTCCGATTTTCAGTAAATGGTACACCAAAGTACCTATATATCTTTCGATTTGCACGAAATTTGGCACAGTGTAATGAATTAGGTAAAGAATGATGTGTGTTAAATTTCGTGAAAATCAGTTCAGATTTAAATTTAGCTCCCATATATATTTTTGTCCGATTTTATGTAAATAGCGCACCAAAGTCCATATATATTCTTCGATTTGAAATTTGGCATAGCGTACTGAATTAACTCTAGAACAATGTGTATTAAATTTCGTGAAAATAGCTTCAGATTTAGTTATAGCTCCCATATATATTTTCGTCCGGCACAACGTAATGAATTAGATCTAGAATGATGTGTGTTAAGTTTCCTAAAAATCGGGTCAGATTTCAATATAGCTCCCATATATAGTTTCGTCCGATTTAATGTATATGGTGTACCAATGTTCATATATAATCTTTGATTTGCACGAAATTTGGCATAGCGTACTGCAATTAGTCTAGAATGATGTGTGTTAAGTTTCGTGAAAATTGGTTCAGATTTAGTTATAGCTCCCATATATATTTTTGTCCGATTTAATGTAAATGGTGCACCAAAGTCCCTATATATTCTTCGATTTGCACGAAATTTGGTATAGCCTACTGAATTAAGTCTAGAATGTTGTGTATTAAATTTTATGAAAATCGGTTTAGATTTAGATATAGCTCCCATATATATTTTCGTCCGATTTTAGGTAAATAGAGCACCAAAGACCCTATATAATCTTCGATTTGCACGAAATTTAGCATAGCGCAATGAATTAAGTCTAGAACGATGTGTGTTAAATTTCGTGAAAATCGGTTCAGATTTAAATAAAGCTCCCATATATATATTCGTCCGATTTTATTTAAATGGTGCACCAATGTTCCTATATATCTTTCGATTTGCGCGAAATTTGGCATAGCGTACTAAATTGGGCCAGGAGTGATGTGTGCCAAGTTTCGTGAAAATCGGTTCAGATTTAGATATAGCTCCCACATATAGTTTCGTCCGATGTTATGTGAATGATGCATCAAACTCCCAATATTTGTCCGATTCGGACACATTTTTGCACAGAGTACTAAATTAGGTCCAGACTGATGTCTGCGAAGTTTTGTTAAAATCGGTTCAGATTTAGATATAGCTCCCACATATAGTTTCGTTCGATTTTTTGTGAATGATGCACCAAACTCACAATATTTATCCGATTGAGACAAAATTTTGCACAGAGTACTGAATTAAGTCCAGATTGATGTCTGCGAAGTTGTTAAAATCTGTTTAGATTTAGATATAGCTCCAATATATAGTTTCGACTCCCAATATTTGTCCGATTGAGACAAAATTTTTCATAGCGAATGCAATTGAGGAAAAAATGATGTGTGAAAAGGTTTGTTGAAATCGGTTCAGATTTTGATATAGGTCTTATATATTTTTTTGTTCGATTTTATGTAAATGTTGCACTGAAGGGCCTATTTTTGTTCGATTTACACGAAATTTGGCAGAGGATATTAAATTGAATATAGAGTGATAATAAAAACAAATGGTGTATGCAACGGTTACTCAATTAGGTCCATGTGTATATATAGCTCCCATACATAACTTTACTCGATTTCATACAAATGGTACACCCAAGAAAAGAATCCAAGTCAGCCCGTTTGACATGAAATCTTTCATTGATTTCAGAATGGTATGTGTATGGAGTTTATTTTTAATTGGTTCAAATATCTATCGAGATAGCACATTTAATTTCGCCCGATTCCATCACAAAGATTCTATGTCTGTTCTATCTACACGATATTGTAGATATTAACATCTTTTGTATGTTCCCAACGTGGTGAAGGGTATCATATAGTCGGCCCCGTCTGACTTTTAAACTTTTAAAAATATATTTTATACATATTTTACCAATCCCACCGATTATAGGGCGCCTAATTCAAAGAATTTCTAATGCCCGAAAGCATGTATTTTTTAAAGCAAATTATTAAAAATTGTCACACACACACACACAATAAACTGAGTGGGCGTTCCTTGTAGAAAATTCTCTTTTTTTTTGTAGTTTGAATTCTGAATTCTTATTAAATGTTTGAGAAATTGTCTGACATTGTCACTGATTCGAATGTAGTATTCATAGTCTAACAGAATGCTATGAGGATGAATATGATGGTGTTTATAATAATAAATGATAAAAAACTATTGTCATTGTTTTAAATTGTTTTTTTTTTAATATATAGAGACGAAGATAATCATGATGTTCCGCAAAAAAAATCCGCCGAACGGCAGTAATGAATATATTGATGAGATTAATAATGAAATTCTTTAATGATAATTATAATATCATTGTTGGTTTGAATAGCTAATTGTATTATGAACACAATAATAATTATTGTGATAATTAAAAAAAAAATTAATTAAAAATAAACACTATTTATTATTATTAATTTTATAAACATAAAAACAATTAAAAATCCCAACTGATTTAATTAGTTGAAATGTATGCCGCTACTGTAGTCTGCACATAATTAGATTTCAAATTTTTTTAAATTTTATTTATTTTGTTTTTTTTTTTTTTTTTGTTATGACAGTTATTATTATTTTTATTATTTTTAAATTATTAATTTATTGCAACTAATTTTCATTCATTGTTTTCATGTATGTTATTTTATTTTTATTTTATAAATTTAATTTTAATTAATAGTTATTAAAATAAGCCTATTACTATGTAGTGTCTATTTTTCCTACCATTATAAAAAAACAAAAATTAATTAATCCATTTATTTCCTTTCTCTCGTTTTTTTTTGTAGCCATGGCGAGGATCTCATTGTGACACCATTTGCCCAAATTTTAGCAAGTTTACGTTCTGTGCGCAATAATTTATTAAGTCTGACAAATGTTCCGGCATCCAACAAGTAAGTGTATTTTTCTTTTCTTTTTATTTTTCATTTTCCATTGTTATTTTGTTTCGTTTTCCGCTCACACTCTCTCTCTCCCCCTATCTACTATTTTTTTTCGTTATTCTTAATTAATATGGATTTAGCTCCTTCACTCTAACCTAACCTAAATTTAAACGTTGTAACAAGAAAGCAACAGCAGCCCTGCCCTACCCCTTTTTACACTCTTTCAAAAACCCACTCACTGACCGGCCAAAAATAGATAGATTGTTGTTCTTGTTGTTTAAATTGTTTTCGTTTTATTTCTTCATTGTCTTGATATAATAAATTGCACCTGGCTGAATCTTAAAAAAAAAACAATATCCTTAATTAAAAAAAAATAGGAAAAAATAAGAATTACAAAAAAATATTTAAAAAGAAAAGTAAAAACATTTTCACTGTGGCCCTACTTTTTCTATACACCATTTCCTCTTCATTATAAACTTTTCATTTTAGGAATGTGCAAAATTTTAAAAATAGAGAATCTCCCATCAGCGAATATTTTAAATTCAAGCAAAAGAAAATCCCTTAATGAAGTTTTACCTTTAATGCCTAAAAGTATGCACTAAGAACGATATGTAAGAAATATACTAAATTGTGATATAGATGGCGCTATTTATACTCGATGAAATCGCTCATAAATAATATATAAATAAAAATAGAGAATAAGTCCTCCTGTAGTAAATTCCAATAATATTTAATTTTTTCTTAAATTTATATATTCTTAAAATTTAAATATCGGGCTTCAGACATATTAAGTTTTTATTTAATTAGCGCCTAATATTATACGAACAAATGTTATAAAATAATCTAATGAGTATAAAATATAGATGGTGCCAAGGTTTACAATTTAAAATATGCATCCTAATCTCCCTCCAGCGAAATTTTTATTTCAAGCAAGGGAAATACTCCCTTAAAGAAATTGTTTCATTTAGTGCCTAAAAGTATGCAGTAACAATGTTATTTGATAAATATACAAAATTCTAATACAAATGGCGTAATTTATACTCGATAAAATCGGACATAAAGCATATACAAATAAATATATTTTTTAGCTCCTCCACTCTAAATAAATCGGACGTCTGACATAAACTGCTATGGTAAAATATCGCCTCAAAGTATACATCAGAAACAAAAATAAGAATACTTGATTAATATGAAGCTAAGATATAGATGGCGCCAAAGTCTTCTACCTAAAAATTGAGGAAAAATATATTTTAAAAATAATTTCTTATTTTTTGTTATTTGAATTTTGACTTGTAAGGGCAGTAATCATTTGAAAGTAATTTTACGTGATTATTTATACTCTTTCGAGTCGAGCTTGATGATCAGGCATATTGGGCCACATAGCCCAATATGCCTGATAAGCCGCTTAACCAACGGCGAAACGCGTCGCATAATGGCGGGTACGTAGGTTCTTCTCCTGGCTTTCCTTTTCATTGCAAAAACTTAGATCATCAAGCTCGACTCGAAAGAGTATAAATAATAACTTAATAATTTCTTATGCTGAACAAGAAAATGATCAAAAACTGAAAATTTCGAAATTTAATTTTTTTCTAGAAGTATAAAATTGTATTTAATTAACACCTAATAGTATACACTATAAAGAACAAATGTTACATATTAGCCTAATATATAAATATAGATGGCGCCAGAGTTTACAATTTAACATTTGTATCCTAACCCTTCCAACCTGAAGAATTGAAAATAATGAACAAAAGGGTAAAATCGAGAATGTGGCAATCCAGTTCACGTAGCGGATCGATCTTTCTAGTTCCTTTTTTAAAAAGGAACTAGTTCCTTAATGAAGTTCCTTTGCTCTTCATAGTTCCTTTGCTCCATATAGTTCCCACTCCTATATAGTTTCTTTAAATCTCTCTCTTTCATCGTTACCCAACTCTAGTAAAATCTCTCTCAGAATAAAGTACAGATGACGTAGGTTCTCTCAGTGTAAGAAAATCACATACATAAACTCAAAAAAAAGAGAATCGCCAACCAGCGAAATTTAATTTGAAAATAATGAACAAAACGTGCAAAATCTCACTCAAAATATAGTACAGATGGCGCAGGTTCTCTCACATACTTCCCTCAAACACAAAGAAATTAACATCAATTATTCTCTTAGCTTCATATGTTGGTGATACCAAAAAAAATTTGGCGCAAAGTTTGGTTGAAATCGGACACTCCATCCTATACAGATGTTTGAACATAATTTAGAAATATGAAATAATTATTACGACGTACAGAGCTTGTATATAATCGATCACGAGAGTAATTGTGTGCAACAACCATTTTAAAACAATACGGAGCTAATTGAAGTATAGAGGCCGCTCTTATACTGATTTTACTGTGGTCAGTAAAATCCGTTCAGCATTGTGGCACATACATATTTGAAGTACCAAAGAAATTGCTCTTCATTTGTGATTTCATTTAGGTATTTCTAAAAATTTAGAAGTGCTTTAAAAAAACTTTCACATCTATTAAACTCCAATCAAATATAAATTCACTAAATTTGAGAATAGATGGCACTAATTATGTTACTTTATCAAAGGTTGTTCCATTACTATGGATAGTTAGTAATGTCCATCGATTTCAGCAAAGCTTTTGACACATTATCACATCCGAAACTGCTATGTATACTAGAAATAAATGGGATAAGAGGTCAATGTTTAAAATGGTTTAAACAGTATTTAAACTGCAGAAGATTTAAAGTCAAAATTGATAATTGCACTAGTAAGGAGCACCAATCTGAATACGGAGTACCTCAAGGCTCCAAGCTTGGGCCAATTCTGTTCATAATATATTCTAATGATATGATTAAAACTCTTAATGACAGCATTACCTTTTCGTATGCCGATGATACAGCCATAATAGTGTCAGACAAATCCGTAAGGTTTGCAGAATATGGCATGCAAAATGAAATAAATCAATTAATAAGATGGTGCCACGATAATGGTTTGGTTATCAACGCAAAGAAAACCAAACTTATGCATTTTCGACCCAAACACATAACCCCCGCAGATATATCCATAATATTTCATAACAATGAATGCCTTCACCATTATGGGGAAAACATTCAACAAGGAGTGGAAACGTGCTCAACCAAAATTGATGTAGTAGATACGTTCAAATATTTTCTAATTCTATTAGACTGTCATATGAAATGAAGACCACAGATTGATAATATAAGAAAAAAACTACGCAAATCATCCTACTCCTTGTATCACCTAATTGTTTGTGCACCATATAAAGTGTTGAGGCAAGCATATTTTTCGTTGGTTGAATCCTATATACGACATGGAATGTCTACATGGGGCAACGCACCTAATTGCAGAATACTTCAAATTACACAAAATAGCCTGTTGAAAATACTACAAAAAGAGTTTACGCCTATCTAACACTAACCGACAAGGTAGTAACTCATCATCCCAATAGATAGATATATAGATAGAGGAACTTCGAAGAATATTAAAAGAAGTAGTACACAAGAGTACACAACGTTCGCTAATTTAAAAAATAAGAAAATATTAGGTCATGAAGACGTTTTCTAATACCATCTACATAGATGTTATTATGTAATTAATAGATAGTCAATTGAAGTATAGATGGCGCTGCTTATAATACAACTCAACATTAATTCTATGTTTAAGGCAGCCATATGTGATACACATGAAACTCGTGCATAATTTTAAGCTAAAATTTAAAATCAGAGTATAGATGGCGTTCTTTCTAACAAAATTATAATTACAACAATATCTTCTGGCAATCTAAATTTTATGTTGATCTTTTTTTTTGGGAGCTGTAGGTTCCACAGCTCCCAAAAATAATTTTTAATTGCAATTCAAATATTATTTATCCAAGCTTATGCACTATATAAATTTAAATTAATTCACAAAAAAATCATAAAAATTCACACTCACGTCTTGTTTTTGAAAAATAGTCAGGCTGTATTACAGTTTGTTTTTTTATAAAACGCAACTATTTATTAATGGGGAAGTATGGCATTGTCCACCAAGGGTTAAGGCAGGAAAGACTATAGTTTCGGATCTCGACACTGATCCTCATCAGTTCCCTTAGTTTTTTTTGTTAGTATATTCTCCCTAGAAGCTATTTATTGCTTCTTTACAAAAAACCTTTCATACCCAAATGTCTCTTGTAACAAAGCGAAGTACTTAGCTGACCAACGAAATAAACTGCATTAGAATTTCACTGGTGCCTCACTTCGAGGCATTTGTAAACAATACCATACTTTCCCCACAGTTGTGTATAGTCATCTTTTGCTGAAAATTAGATATAAATGTCCAACGTTCGTTAGATCGACATGGAAATATTTTCACTCAAAAACTAATTGATTTATGCATTCTGTTCACGTAGCGAACATGGTTTTTAAATAATAAAGATAGTGAATGTCTTGCTGTGGGTCTCTTGTGTAAAGGAGAGAATATTTAGTTAAACAGGGATCTATTTGTGTCTACAGTCCACTTGAGATAAGAGATTATTTTGGTTGAATATTTGTACACAATAAGAAGATAGGAGTTTTATATTGCCACATGTGGTATGTTTGGGTGATATTACGGGGAGTAATCTTCACTACAGACTGATAAGCATGTGTAGCGTGCTTGCCACATGTGAGATAAAGAAATGTGTGTGTCCACTCCATGTGTTATGGCAGATGCACTTTCTCTCTCTCTTTTACACATTAGTCTAAGATAGGTTAAGTTATATTGTAATACTTAGTTCTTAAGAAATACTTTTTATATTAATAAATTAGAGTGTAAATGCACAGCAAATAAGAAACATACGAGCTTTCACTCATTGTTATATCCCCAATATTCACAGTAGTTTCTAATATTCATTCTCAGTACTATTATATTTTTCATTCTCCTAAATGTATGTATGCTATGCCGAATATTATAGGGAAAATTTTAATAAAATTCTTTGAAAAAGACTATAACAAAAATATTAAATAATTTATTCCAATATTCAATTGTCAGTAGACAGAATTTAAGTGTATAAAATTCTAGCAACAAAATAAATTCTTCGAAAAAATATTTTGAAATATATACAACATTAATTTTCAATATAAATTGAATTGCACAAACAAATTCCCCTAGAAGTATGCAATGCAATTTATAACTATTGCACATTCCTAAAAGATATACCACCATACAAATCCAATTAAATAAATGTTTCTTGTTTGTTTGTTTTTATTTTATGATCACAAATTAAATTCCATAATAATAGAATCCTTTAAAAAAACATTTTTTTAAACAAAATATTTATAACATATATTTTTACCTTAAATTCTTTTTTCTCTTTCTCCTTTTTATTCCCCCCGTAAAATAATGAAACAAAAAAAAACGAAACACAACCGAAAAATATTTAAAATAATACAAATTATTTTTTTATGATTATTAATACCGTTATTTTATTTTTATAAAAAATAAATAAATGCTTAATTTACCCACTTTTTTAACCATTAATTTTTTATTCTCTTTTTTCTTTCATTTCTTTTTTTGTTTGATTTGTTTTTTTTTTTAATGTTCTGCAAATGCTCTTGAATGTGTCCCCAAATTTTGTTTTTTATTCCTTTTAACACAACTTTGTTTGCCTTTATTATTTTGTTATATTATTTTATCCCGCCAAACCCCCTACCCCAAATGTTGCCCTATGTCAATGTCATTTGTTTCTTTGTTACCCAAAAATTTTATCCGTGTGTGCTTGAATGTGTGTGTTGTGTGTGAATGTCCTTTGTTACTCTCTCTCTCTCAATGTCTGTGTGTGTGGAACATTGTATTAATCATCTAAGATCTAGGCGACCAACCCAAACATCTATGGGACGTTCATCGACGGCGGGTATTATCCTAAACCAGGGCGATGAGGCGTATACACGTTTGGCCACCGATACCATTGAAGAATTAGACTGGTGCTTGGATCAATTAGAAACGATACAGACCCATCGTAGTGTATCCGATATGGCATCGCTTAAGGTGAGTTGGAAAATACAAAAAAAAAAATTACTTCAGCCTAAAAGTAGGCACCATTTTTTGACATAACAATTAATTTGAATATATCTTCCCATATTTAGTTCAAACGTATGCTGAACAAAGAATTATCACACTTTAGCGAATCGAGTAAATCTGGAAATCAAATCTCCGAATATATTTGTTCAACATTCTTGGGTAAGTTGCAAATAAAAAATAAATCTTAAATTAAAAACAAAAATCCTAAAAATATGTAACATATATATATATATATATATATATGTGTATGTGTGTATAGCCTTAAACGCATACAATAATTTGCATATGGTTTTTCAAAAGTTTCACCAAAATTCTTAAAACCTAACATCAATCATTGAACCAATCATCACCCCAAAAAGTATGCTTCAATAAATTTATGCTAATGCCCAATTTTTTTTTTTTTTTTTTTGTCATCTCAAAAAACAACCTTGGAATATTGACAACAACCCTCTAAACAAGGACATTTCCATTTTCTTTGTTGTTTTTGTAATTAGATTTACTCAAACATCAGGGAAGAACCTTGCCCTTCGCAAAACGGATGCAAATGATTTTAATCTTTGGTGTGGGTTTTTTTTTGTCGCCTCTTAGCATTAATACAGTTTTTCTGAAAATCTCATTTATATCCAAGGTTTGGTTTTATCCTATCCTACCACAAGAACTTGTAGGAGACACCTGGATGTGTATTCACATTAGGAGAGGTCGGACCTTAATGTTCGCCACTTGAGGATATTTGACAAATATTTGTTTATAGCCTACACCACACTGTGGTACAGCATTAATACAGTTTAGCATTAATACAGTTTTTCTGAAAATCTCATTTATATCCAAGGTTTGGTTTTATCCTATCCTACCACAAGAACTTGTAGGAGACACCTGGATGTGTATTCACATTAGGAGAGGTCGGACCTTAATGTTCGCCACTTGAGGATATTTGACAAATATTTGTTTATAGCCTACACCACACTGTGGTACAGGGTATTATGTCTGTGTGCATATGTTTGTAAGAGGTAAAAGGAAGTGAGATAGTCCCATGGTTCCTTTGGAGAATATGCATAGAATCACTTTCTGAGTCGATTTATGCATGCCCGTCCGTCCGTCTGTCCCTCTGTTGATGTTAAATTGTAAGCAAAGTACGGATCGCATTTATCATCCCATTTGGATGAAATTTGGCACAGCTCATTTATTTGGCCCAAGGACGAACCCTATTGAAATTGCGAAAAATCGGTTCAAATCTAGATATAGCTCCCATATATATTTTCGTCCGATTTAAGGTGAATGGTGCGCCAAAGTCCCTATATATCTTTCGATATGCATGAAATTTGGCACAGCGTATTGAATTAAGTCTGGAATGATGTGTGTTAAGTTTCGTGAAAATCGGTTCAGATTTAGATATATCTCCCATATATCTTTTCGTCCGATTTAAGGTCAATGGTGCACCAAAGTCCCTAAATATCTTTTGATTTGTATGAAATTGGACATACCGTATTGAATTATGTCTGAAATGATGTGTGTTAAGTTTCGTGAAAATCGGCTCAGATTTAGATATAGCTCCCATATATAATTTCGACCGATTTAATGTAAATGGTGAACCAAAGTCCCTAAATATCTTTCGATATGCACAAAATTTGGCACAGCGTATTGAATTAGGCCTAGAATGACGTACTTGAGGTTTCGTGAAAATTGATTCAAATTTAGATATAGCTCCCATATATCTTTTCGTCCGATTTAAGGTCAATGGTGCACCAAAGTCCCTAAATATCTTTCGATATGCACGAAATTTGGCACAGCGTATTGAATTAGGCCTAGAATGACGTACGTGAAGTTTCGTGAAAATTGATTCAAATTTAGATATAGCTCCCATATATCTTTTCGTCCGATTTAAGGTCAATGGTGCACCAAAGTCCCTAAATATCTTTTGATTTGTATGAAATTTGACATAGCGTGTTGAATTATGTCTGAAATGATGTGTGTTAAGTTTCGTGAAAATCGGTTCAGATTTAGATATAGCTTCCATATATATTTTCGTCCGATTTAAGGTAAATGGTGCACCAAAGTCCCTAAATATCTTTCGATTTGCACGAAATTTGGCACTACGTACTGAATTAAGTCTGGAATGATGTGTGCTGAGTTTCGTGGAAATCGGTTCAGATTTAGATATAGCCCCCATATACATTTTCGTCCGATTTAAGGTAAATGGTGCGCCAAAGTCTCTAAATATCTTTCGATTTGCAGGAAATTTGACATAGCGTACTGAATTAGGCCTAAAATGACGTACTTGAGGTTTCGTGAAAATCGTTTCAGATTTAGATATAGCTCCCATATATATTTTCGTCCGATTTTAAGTAAATGGTGCACCAAAGTCCCTATATATCCTTCGATTTGTACGAAATTTGACATAGCGTACTGAATTGGGCCTAGAATGACGTAAGTGAAATTTCGTGAAAATCGGTTCAGAGTTAGATATAGCTCCCATATATAATTTCGTCCGATTTAAGGTAAATGTTGCACCAGAGTCCCTAAATATATGCCGATATGTACAAAATTTGGCATAGCGTACTGAATTAGGCCTAGAATGACCTAAATGAAGTTTCGTGAAAATCGGTTCATATTTAGATATAGCTCCCATATATACTTCCGTCCGATTTAAGATAAATGGTGCGACAAAGTCTCTAAATATCTTTCGATATGCACGAAATTTTGACATAGGGTACTGAATTGGGCCTAAAATGACGTACGTGAAGTTTCTGTTCAGATGAAGATATAACTCACATATATGCTTTCGTCCGATTTAAGGTAAATGGTGCACCAAAGTCCCTAAATATATCGATATGCACGAAATTTGACTTAGCGTACTGAATTGGGCCTAAAATGACATACGTGAAGTTTCGTGAAAATCGGTTCAGATTTAGATATAGCTGCCATATATATTTTCGTCCAATTTAAGGTAGGCTTCCTTGTTAGTCCCCTCTGTGACATTCTCCTTTTATTCCCTATAAAAATACCTTCCGCTTGATTGGATTTATTCAGCCCTTAAATCATTTTCACGCGAAGCTATTATTTGATTTGAGTATAAAAAATGTGTCCCTGCCACCCACATCTACTACCCTCCGTTCACACTTATTTACATAGCCACAACAGCATGGCACAGCTAAAGCCATCTTCTCGGCTACTACTACTGCTGTGGTAATGCCCAGCCCAGCCACACGTTTTGCGTAGATTTTTTAAGTGTTTCAGCTTAAGCTTTTATAATTCTATCCCGACACAAACGTGGCTAAATAAAATCAAATCGTTTTAGCTTGGCAACAAGCAGCAAAAAAAGCTGGCGGTAGTAGTACATTAACAAGTAAATCAAAGCAACGGAAATGACAGCAGCTGGATGGGGTGTTGACGGGCAGTAGCAACAACAACGAAACTTGAAAAAATATAAAATTCAAATTTTATTTCCAGCATTTTTATTTCATCCGTTACGCATCTAAAAAACACACCTTTATATATATATATATATATTAAAAAAACACTCACACACCTGTATATAGCCCACAGTAAGGACCCATCCGCACACACACACACTTTCATGTAGCAATACTTTTCACACCTTACTCTCCAAGGCATTGATGCAAAGTAGGAACAAAAAATAACATCCATTGCCTACCTTTAGGCATTTAGTAACCATGTTTTTGTTTGAGTGTGTGTTAGTGCACGTGTATAAGTTTATATATAATTTTATTTTAATATGGTTTATGTAATTTCCCCCCACATTCGCTGGCATTGGGGCGTAGAAAAAAAAACAACAACACATTTTTACAATTTTATTGACACAAGGGGTTTTCAAAAAATCCGCGGCTTTATAAAGGCCTTAAAAAATATTTTTAAAAACTCCACGCCTTTAAAAAAATATTATAAACCAGTAAGGAAAATAATAAAGTCGGACGGGACCGACTATATGATACCCTTCACCACTTTGGGTATATTCAACAGATGAATCCTAACTGACGTCGCATTTTTAAAGGACCAGTAAAATGAAATTGGATCAATAAACATGTCATTCTGCAACCGAAACTACAATTTTCATTTGGTCAGACATAGAACCTATATCTAAATCAGAACCGATTTCAGGAAACTTAACACACCTCATTCTAGAACTTATTCAGTACGCTGTGCCAAATTTCGTGCAAATCGAAGGATGTATAGGGACTTTGGTGCACCATTTACATTAAACCGGACGAAAATATATATGGGAGGTATATCAAAATCTCAACCGATTTTCACGAAATTTAACTCACATCATTCTATACCTAATTCTTTACGCTGTGCCAAATTTCGTGCAAATCGAAGGATATATAGGGACTTTGGTAGACCATTTACATTAAATCGGACGAAAATATATATGGGAACTATATCTAAATCTGAATCGATTTTTACGAAACTTAACACACATCATTCTAGACCTAATTCATTACGCTGTGCCAAATTTCGTGCAAATGGAAAGATATATAGGTTCTCTGGAGTCCTATTTACCTTTGATCGAACGAAAATATATATGGGAGCTATATCTAAATCTGAACTGATTTTCACGAAACTTAACACACATCATTCTAGGCCTTATTCATTACGCTGTGCCAAATTTCGTGCAAATCGAAGGATATATAGGGACTTTGACGCACCATTTACCTTGAGTCGGACGAAAATATATATGGAAGCCATATCCTAATCTGCCCCGATTTTCACGAAAATTAGCACACATCATTCTAGGTCTAATTCATTACGCTGTACCAAATTTCGTGCCAATCGAAAGATATATACGAACTTTGGTGCCCTATTTACCTTAAATCGGACGAAAATATATATGGGAACTATATATTAATCTGAATCAATTTTCTTGAAACTTGGCACACATCATTCTAGACTCAATTCAGTACACCATGCAAAATTTCGTGCAAATAGGGACTTTGTTACACCATTTTCCTTAAATCGGACGAAAATATATATGGGAGCTATATCTAAATCCGAACCGATTTTCACGAAACTTAACACACTTCATTCTAGACCAAATTCATTATGCTGTGCCAAATTTCGTGCAAATCGAAAGATATATAGGGACTTTGGTTCATCATTTACATTAAATCGGACGAAAATATATATGGGAGCTATATCTAAATCTGAACCGATTTTTCCCAATTTCAATAAGGTTCGTCCTTGGGCTAAATAAGTGACCTATGCCAAATTTCATCCAAATCAGATCATAAATGCGACCTGTACTTTATTCACAAAAATACATGGACGGACATTCATAAATTGACTCAGAAAGTGATTCTATTCATATTCTCAAAAGGAACTATGGGTCTATCTTGTTTCCTTTTGCTGGTACAAACATATGCACAAAGACATAATACCCTGTACCACAGTGTAGTGAAGGGTATAAAAATCCACCCTACGTCTGTGTTGGACCCTTTAAAATATTTTTAAGAAATTCACACCTATGTTCTGACCCTCAAAAATATTTTGAATAAACCCACGCCTTTGAAGGGTATAAAAATCCACCCCACGTCTGTTTTGGACCCTTAAAATTATTTTTTAAAAAACCCACGCCTTTGAAGGGTATAAAAATCCACCCTACGTCTATGTTGGACCCTTAAAAATATTTTTAAGAAATTCACACCTATGTTCTGACCCTCAAAAATATTTTTAATAAACCCACGCCTTTGAAGGGTATAAAAATCCACCCCACGTCTGTTTTGGGCCCTAAAAATTTTTTTTTAATAAACCCACGCCTTTGAAGGGTATAAAAATCCACCCCACGTCTGTGTTGGACCCTTAAAAATATTTTTAAGAAATTCACACCTATGTTCTGACCCTCAAAAATATTTTTAATAAACCCACGCCTTTGAAGGGTATAAAAATCCACCCCACGTCTGTTTTGGACCCTTAAAATTATTTTTTAAAAAACCCACGCCTTTGAAGCGTATAAAAATCCATCCCACGTCTGTGTTGGACCCTTAAAAATATTTTTATGAAATTCACACCTATGTTCTGACCCTCAAAAATATTTTTAATAAACCCACGCCTTTGAAGGGTATAAAATCCACCCCACGTCTGTTTTGGACCCTTAAAATTATTTTTTAAAAAACCCACGCCTTTGAAGGGTATAAAAATCCACCCCATGTCTGTTCTGGACCCTTAAAAATATTTTAAAAAAACCCACTCCTCTGTTCTAACCCCTAAAAATATTTTGAAAAAATCCACGCCCTTAAAGAATGTTCTGAAAAGAATTACTCAATATTCAAGGTTTTAAGGCATTAGTAATCGATTTTTTTTTCAAAATTGTATTTGAAATAATTTTCAATTTAATAAATTTTTACTTTCTTTCCTTTTCCAGACAAACAACAAGAATTCGATTTACCCTCAATGCGCCTGGAAGAAAACACAGCTGCGGTGCATGAGCACAGTGCCATTACTGGGCCGAATCAACAGCGCAGTCGCAGTCCACGCGGTCCACCCATGTCACAGATATCCGGTGTTAAACGTCCTTTATCGCATACAAATTCATTTACCGGTGAACGTTTGCCCACCTATGGTGTTGAGACACCACACGAAGCGGCACTGGGTACACAATTGGCCGAATTGGATACATGGGGCATCGATATCTTTAAGATAGGCGATTTGAGTAACAATCGTCCGCTCACCTGTGTGGCATACACAGTATTTCAGGTGGGTAGCCATTTAATTTTTTCGAAAGTGACATAATTCTAAGATTTTTTTCCTATTTTTGTTTCCACCCCAACAGAGTAGAGAATTATTGACCAGTCTTATGATACCACCGAAAAACTTTCTTAATTTTATGAGCACTCTGGAGGACCATTATGTCAAAGACAATCCGTTTCACAATTCATTGCATGCGGCTGATGTCACACAAAGTACGAATGTCTTATTGAATACTCCTGCACTGGAAGGTGTCTTTACGCCACTGGAAGTGGGCGGTGCATTATTTGCGGCTTGTATACACGATGTTGATCATCCTGGTCTAACTAATCAATTTTTAGTTAATTCAAGTAAGTCGAGTGGAATATCAAATTGAAAATGAAAATAATAATCAAAAATAACTCTTCTGACCTTCATTCATTTAGGTTCCGAATTAGCCTTAATGTATAATGACGAATCTGTTTTGGAAAATCATCATTTAGCTGTTGCCTTTAAATTATTGCAAAATCAAGGATGTGATATATTCTGTAATATGCAAAAGTAAGTATTGAAACCACTAAAAAAATCCACTCCTAAAGGCAATCCCACGACGGTCGGTTCTATGCACCGGATTGACTCTAAGGAATCAACTTTCGACCAAGTGCTGTCAACCCAGCAAGTACATGTTCGTGTATTTTTGAAACTTGTAAGCTTCATTACCCGGAATGTTTGCTCCGGATACTTTTGGTCCGTGTCGGGATTGAGACAAACCCCGGACCATGGTTCTGCTCAGTTTGTCACAACAGCATCCACCACAGATCTATCTCGGTGAGATGAACAGATGCAGAGAATGGGTACATTTCAGGAGTTGTTCCAGCCTTAGCCGGGTACAGGAGTATAGCGAAAGGAACTACGTTGCTTCATGCTGCGCCAATACAGTCCCCAGCGGGTCGTCGTCATCGCCGTGGTCCACGTCATCATCGTCGTCGTCTTCGGATTACGTGACTTCCCCGCAATCTCCGCAGCAACAACCTGCGCCGCAGCCGCTAACACCGCACATTGCTGTAGCAACTCCCGATAACGTATCTTTTCTCCAATTCAACTGCTATGGACTTCGAGGGAAAATCAATGAGATAGTGGATTTTATGAGTCAAAGACGTATTATGGTCGCTGCGATCCAGGAACCGAAGATAAACCACACCTGAAGTCTTCAGATTTGTGATGGTTACAACGTAATTAGAAAGGATCGTACAAGAGGTGGAGGATTAGCATTCCCATTGCACCATTCTGTCCAGTACAGACATATCTCGCTTGAGCTAGACTCTAGTGACCCATACATGGAATGTATGGGGGTAGCGGTCAAGTGTGTTACCACCGAGGTAGAGGTGCCTAACGTGTATATCCCGCCGTTAAATAGCTGGCCCCGCCTTATTTGCTTGACATTAGTCATCTTTTGGAAGACAATAACCGTCTGGTGATAGGGGATTTCAATACACATCATGAGTTATGGACATGGCGCAGGCCGATCAAGTAGATAGCTCAACGTTTTGCACGGTGAATGAGGACCTACCCACCAGGATAATGGGAGACTGTCAAAGCTAACCGGACATCTCCATCGTGTCTCCGGATCTGACGAACGACGGTCAGGTCACCTCCCTATTATCATATCCATCAACAGACCACCCGACTTCATAACTTTTGAACGCCGTACTTTCCTTAATCATGGGAAAGCCAATTGGCAAGAGTTCAGAAATTTCACCAATCGTCGCTTCAGAGAACTGCCCGACCCTTCTGATGCTCGGGTAGCAGAAAGAAAGAAAAGAAACGCAGTGGAAAAGTCTTCAATCCTGCCAGAATGCCATCCTGAGGACAGCAACAGGGTGTCTTCTCATGACTCAAATAGACCACATACATGAGGAGACGAAGATCCTTCCTGTGCGTCAACACAACAAGATGTTGTCGATGCAAAACCTGCTTGGATGTTATCGGAGTAGCCATCCCAACCGTTACCTAATGGATAGGCACCCACCACCTAGGCATGTCAGGAAGGATCTCAATGATCTGGAGAGAGAGTGGTCCAAAGGTACAAAAGGGAGCATCTAGATCAACAGGCCTATCAAGCAGGATTAAATCGTTCACACGGATGCAGTTGAGGAAGCAGTTCAAGAATATCGTGTGAATACCATCCTCGGAGATCATTCTTGGCACACTCTAAGATCTGGATGGTGTAGCCGCCTCAATTCATATTGGGCACGAATTGATGGAGAGGTCGACAATATCTGCCGGGCATGTGGTAACGGATCACATGACACGCTACATCTATTCAACTGCCCAGCCAAACCCACTCACCTAATCCCATTCTCTCTTTGGACTCAACCGATACAGGTCGCAGTCTTCCTGAACTTGGAGTTAGAAGCAGAAATAGGTTAAGGAAAATAGAAAAATACACTGCAGTACAAGCTGCTACAACAAAAACAACAACTCCTAAAAATAGGCTTTGGAAAAATATTTTTTTCAAAATCAAAGCCTAAAAATAGGCTATAACGATATTCTTCAAAATACACGCCTTACAAAATAAAAAATATCTTTTAAAATAAAGGCCTCTTGAGGACTCTTAAAAATTTGCGCCTCTTAGGGACTTTACAATTTTTTTAAACTCCTTAAAATATACTTTTAAAAATCCATGCCTTTTTATGGTCCTTAACAAATTATTTAAAAATTTAAAATTATTTTAAAAAAGTCAATATTTGAATTTTTCATTTTGATTTTTTTTTCCAGGAAACAACGCCAAACATTAAGAAAAATGGTTATTGATATTGTACTATCAACCGATATGTCCAAACATATGAGCCTATTGGCCGATTTGAAAACTATGGTAGAAACTAAAAAGGTAGCTGGATCTGGTGTACTACTGCTGGACAATTACACAGATCGTATACAGGTAAGCATCATATTTTATTTTCCCCACCTCAAGACCCGTAATAAAATTCTCTTATATTTTCTAGGTTCTTGAAAATCTTGTCCATTGTGCCGATTTAAGTAATCCAACCAAACCGTTGCCGCTGTACAAACGCTGGGTTGGCCTTCTCATGGAGGAATTCTTCCTGCAAGGTGACAAAGAACGCGAATCGGGCATGGACATCAGTCCAATGTGTGATCGTTATAATTCGACGATTGAAAAGTCGCAGGTCGGCTTTATTGATTACATTGTACATCCACTCTGGGAAACTTGGGCCGATTTGGTACATCCAGATGCTCAAGATATATTAGATACGCTTGAAGAGAATAGAGACTATTATCAGAGTATGATACCGCCATCACCACCACCATCACAGGCCGATGAACAATTAGCGACAGATGATAAGATTAGGTTTCAGGTGAGTGACAAAAAGCCAAACGATGGGCTTTGAAAAATATTTAAAAAAAAATATCCAAGCATAAGAATAGACTTAAAAAAAATTAAAAAAACCTTGAAAAAAATATTTTACAGTAGTAAAAGTAAAGTAGTAAAGTCAGACGGGCCGACTATATGATACCCTTCACCACTTTGGGTATATTCAACACATGAATCATAACAGACGTCACATTTTTAAAGAAGCAGTAAAATGAAATTGGATCAGTAAACATGTCATTCTGCAACCGATACTAAATTTTTCATTTGGTCAGATATAGAAGCTATATCTAAATCTGAACCGATTTCAGGAAACTTAACACACATCATCTTAGACGTAATTTATTACGCTGTGCCATATATCGTGAAAATCGAAATATATTTAGGGACTTTGGCGCACCATTTACCTTAAATCGGACGAAAGTATATATGGGAGCTATATATAAATCTGAACCGATTTTCACGAAACTTAACACACATCATTCTAGGCTTAATTCAGGACGCTGTGCCAAATTTGGTGTAATTCGAAGCATATTTAGGGACTTTGGTACACCATCTACCTTAAATCGGACGAAAATATATATGGGAGCTATATCTAAATCTGAACCGATTTTCACGAAATTTTACACACATCATTCTAGACTCAAGTCAGTACGCTATGCCAAATTCCGTGCTAATCGAAATATATTAAGGGACTTTGGTGCACCATATACATTAAATCGGACGAAAATATATATAGGAGCTATATCTAAATCTGAACCGATTTTCAAGAAACTTAACACACATCATTCTTGACTCAAGTCAGTACACTACGCCAAATTTCGAGCAAATTGAAAGATATATAGGGACTTTGGTGCACCATTTACCTTAAATCGGACGAAACTGTATATGGGAGCCATAACTAAATTTGAACCGAATTTCACGAAACTTGGCACAATCATTCTAGACCTAATTCATTACGCTGTGCCAAATTTCGTGCAAATCGGAAGATATATAGGGACTTTGGTTCATCATTTACATTAAATCGAACGAAAATATATATATGGGAGCTATATATAAATCTGAACCGATTTTCTTGAATTTCAATAAAGTTCGTCCTTGTGCCAAAGCAGTGAGCTGTGCCAAATTTCATCTAAATCGGATCATAAATGCGACCTGTACTTTGTTTACAATTTAAAATCTACAGACGGACGGACGGACTGACGGACATGCATAAATCGACTCAGAAAGTGATTCTATGCATTTTCTCAAAAGAAACCATGTGTCTACCTCGTTTCCTTTTGCCTGTTACAAATATATGCACAGAGACATAATGTCCTGTACCACAGTCTGGTGAAGGGTATAAAAATCCACGCCTAAGAATAGACTTTAAAAAATATTTTTAAAAAATCCACGCCTAAGGATGGACTTGGAACTTAACTTTCTTTATTGGAGTCATTTTTATTTTTATTTTATTTTTTTTATCTAATTTTCTTTTTTTATTTTCCTTCTTAGGTAACCCTTGAAGAGTCCGATCAAGAGAATTTAGCTGAATTAGAGGAGGGCGATGAAACCGCTGCCGAACGTGGTGATGATGTTGGTGTTAACGCTGCTGATACGATGACCACCACGGGTGATAATAAACCGTCGGGGAGTCAAAATCAACCGCATCACGCTGGAATGTGACGGAGAGTCGTGGGACTTTGCCGAAAAATAACTGAAAAGGCGCAAAATTTTTTGCTAATACGTTAGTGACTTTTAACTACAAACAACAAAACAAAAACAACCAAATAGAAAAAAACTACAACTACAAAAAAAATAACAGAAAAATCAAAAAAAAAAAAAAATATCCTCAACCACAACAAAAACAAATATAGAATTTCTTCATCATCTCTCTTATACGCAACAACAACAACAACTCTATATATACAAAAACCAAACAAAAAACGGAATAATTTTCAAGACAATGCTAAAATAGCAAAACAAAAAATACAAAAACAAATAGTTAAGATTTTACTTTTTTCTAACAAACTTAAAAAAAAAAAAACAAAAACAACAACTAAAATAGAATTACATATTTTTTTCATTTAAGTTTTGAAAATGAAGAAGAACAGAAAAAATTTAAATTATTTTTATGACACCGACAAGTTGACAAAACCAAAAAAAAAAAACATAAACAACAACAACTATAATAATTGTTTAGGGAAAACATAGCAAAACCAACAACAACAAAAAACTTCATGAAAAACAAAAACTTCACAAAAAAGTAACCAAAAAAAATCAAATTTTCAAAAAAAAATTAATTCTTTAAAAGATCTTATTTTTATATTTTAAAACCCCAGAAAAAATCAAATTTTCAAAAAATTTTTTAATTCTGTTAAAGATTTTATTTTTTTTTAATTTAAACCCCAAAATTTTGAATTCACCATTATTTATATGTAATATTATTATTATTAATTTTTTAAATTATTTTTCAATACCTTTTTTTATAAATAATGACAAACAATTTTTTTTTACTGGACATGCGTTCTCCCCCAACAAACAAACAACCAACCAAACAATTCACACACACACCCAAACACTGTTATACAAATGACATTTTTTAAAAAAAAAATAAAGAAAACAAATATACTTTTGACCTTTACTGACCTTAGACAATGACATTACAAACAATTACACACCTACTGATTTATTTTAATATAACACATTACCCTATATTATAACAGTTATACGAAACAAAAAATGTTGCCCACTTTTCAATTCAAAACCAAACAAACTAAAAAATGTATTCAAATGTTCTTTCATTTTTATTATTTTATAAATAATTTTTAATTACAAAAAACCGCAGCAAACCACAAACTGTTATACAGCCAAATATGGATATAAGAAAATTTTAATTGGGCAAAAAATCTTAAATATCCCAGTGATATGATTTCTAAATTTTTTAAAACATAACAAAAACATTTTTCTCTTCTTCATCCTCTAAAATTTTTTTTATATCCCTGTTTGGTTGTAACTATAAATATTTATAAAAATAATGCAAATTTGTTTTGTTTTTAATTCTGTAGTTATTAGTTTATATTTTTTTCATTAAAAACATTAATTAATTACTGTAATTTGCATGCAATTTTTTTAATTTATAAACTATAAGATAATAAGAAAACAATCGAGAAAAACAATATCCCCAGTAAAAAGAGAGAAGAAACCAAACAATGGCTAAAAGAGAGAAAAAATATTTTTCTTCCTTATTATGTTTTTTTTTTAATAATAATATTAAAAAAATATTTTCTTTAGTTTTAAGATTTAAGTAACAGAAACTGCAAACAAACAGGTATATATATTTTTTCAAAACTTTAAACCCTCACAAGATCGACGAAATGATGAAAAACGAAATTGACTAGAAACCAAAGCCAAACTAAAAACAACAACAACCATATGGTTGTTGTGTGCATGTGTGTGTGAACTTCAAAAATACTTCTTTTTGTTATACATAAGAAGGAAAAAATTCGTGGAAGTGATGCCAAAGAAATATTTGTTTCGAAATTATTTCATTAAATGAGAAAAGAATTAAAAATAAAAAAGAATTCAAAATCAAAATTTAGACAAAAATTTAGAGTTGTTAATAAATTTATTTTTTTGTGTTTTATAACAATTATAAATTGTATAACATATCGCTCATTTGTTCTAAGAGAGGCATAACTCTAAAAACGTGATTTTCGAGTTAATGATGCACGATTGTTCGCTATAATAGTCCTCATGTTGTGTAAAAAATTCATATGAATATCTCTTACACACTCTAATTGAGAAGCTGTAGAAGTTTCATTTTTGAGTTATGCCTGTCTTGCAGCAAATGAGCGATATATAAATTGCATCACAGTTCTATATATTTATATATATATATATATATATATACATATTGTATAACAGTTTTCATATTTTATACAAGTTAAAAACTAATATTTTATAGCGAAAATATTCAATATTAAAAAATGTTGGCTTATAGCGTGTAATTTACTCAGTCCCTTGAATATTGTTAAAACCGATTTCGACAGTAGTATAGCAATTATAATTTGTATAACAAGTTTTTTTATTTCAAAACAATCAGATAATAGTTATGGAATGGTATAACAGTTGTATAAAAGTTCTAAAACTTATACTCAGTCGCCTACGGTTACTAATTTCTCCGGTCTATTGACTGTCGTTATAACCATCATTTCAACTGTAGTATAACAATTGTTAAATGTATAACAGTTATGAATTTCAACAACTATTATGATTTGTATAACAGTTATGGTTTTTATTAACCCAGATCAAAGCTCCAAAAAATGTATAACTTTAAGCTTTATTAACCCAGATTTTATTTTTTAAAAATTACACAAATTTTATAATTGTTATACATTTGTAATTGGATTGATATACATTTTACTGAATATTATAACAGTTATGGATGGATGAAATGTAGCAATGATATAAATTAAAAAAAATAAAATAAATTGTAACTCATTGTATAACAGTTTTAAATATTAAAAAATATTTGTATAATTGCCATAAACTGTATGATTTTAAAATAATTTATTTGCGTATAACAGTTATAAAATCATTATGGTCTTATGATGATTTTTCTTTTATAAAATATATAACAGTTGTTAATTTTAAAACCATTATAAAGTATAACAGTTATACTTATCATATACATGAAACTGTTATACAATGAATTGTATCTTATTGTATATCAGTTTTAATACTTAAAAAATATTTGTATTACAGTTATAATTGCCACAAACTGTATGATTTGATAATAATTTTGTTTTGTATAACAGTTGTATAAAAGTTAGAAAATCGTTATGAGAATATGGTTTTATTTATAAAATGTATAACAGTTGTTAATTTTTTCAAATCACACAGTTTAGGTTTAAAACTGTGTGATTTGAATTTTTAAAACAGTTATAAAATCATCATGGCCTTATGATGATTTTTTTGTAAAATGTATAACAGTTGTTAATTTTAAAACCATTATAAACTTTGTAAAATGGTTAGTCAGTATAACAGTTATACATTTGATATACATTAAACTGTTGTACATTGAAACTGTTATACAATGAATTGTATCTCATTGTTTTAGATATTTAACAAATATTTGTATTACAGTTATAATTGCCACAAACTGTATGATTTAATTTTTTTTTTTTTTTTTTGTATATGATGGTCTTATGATGATTTTGTTTATAAAATGTATAACAGTTGTTAATTTTAAACCATTATAAATGACATTATAACCGTATAGTCAGTATAACAATTATACATTTGATATACATTAAACATTACATTTAAACTTTTATACAATGAGATATATACATTGCATAACAGTTTTAATATTAAAAAAAAAATTTGTATTAAAGTTATTATAATTTAGTCAGTATAACAGGTATACATTTGATATACATTAAATTGTTATACAGTAAAACTGTTATACATTAAAGTTGTTATACAGTAAAACTTTTATACATTAAAACTGTTATACAATGTATATATCTCATTGTATCAAAAAAATATTTGTATAATTTTAAAAGAATTTTGTTTTGTATAACAGTTATGAAATCATGATGATTTTTTATAAAATGTTTAAAATCAATATAAAATGCTTTGTTAACAGCTATACATTTGATATACATTAAACTGTTATACATTATAACAGTTTTAATAAAATCATTAAGATTTTTTTATAGCATTTATAACAGTTGTTAATTTTGAACACAACTGTTATACATTAACACTGTTCTACAATGAATTGTATCTCAATGTATACCAGTTTTAATGTTTAAAAAATATTGTTATTACAGTTTGTATTACTAACTGAATGATTTTAAAACGATTTTGTTTTGTATAACAGTTATAAAATCAGTATGATCGTATGTTTATTTTGTTGATGATAAAAAAAAATTATAACTGTTAAATGACTTCAAATTTCTTTAAAAAAATGTTCTTATTTGGCTCAAAAATTAATATAATTTTTTGTATAACAGTTTAATAAAAATTCATAATTTTGAGTTTATATATTTTTATTAACCGTTATACAATTTTCGTTTAACCCAACATAAAATAATTATTAATGCTGGTATAAAATATTAACTGTTATACGAAATTGTTATAATACACATAAAACTGTTATACACATTAATTTTTCAAATTTTTTAAGGGCTTGAAATATTTTTTATAAATTCATTTTAACTCATAAACGTGATTTCCTAACAGTTTGTTCAGTATAACAGTTATAAATAAATGGGAATCACTGTTTTGAACGACTGTTAAAAAAACTTAAAATTTCTTTAAAAAAATGTTCATGAAAATCACTTCATACCTTTTTTGTATAACAGTTTAAAAAAAGTTGAATCATCTATTTTTATTAACCGTTATACTATTTTCGTTTAACACAAAATAAAAAATGCTTGTATCAAATATTAGCTGTTATACAAAATTATTATAACAAACATAAAAAACTGTTATACACATAACTTTTTATTTTTTAAGGGCTATGAAATATATTTTGCATATTTTTAATTTTTTCATATATACTCCTATGTAGAACAAAATAAAATTATTAAGACTTTTTTATATAACAGTTTAATAAAAATTCATAATTCTGGGTTATCTATATGTATTAACCGTTATACTATTATCTTCTAACGCTAAAAATATCAATAATGCTGGTATAAAATATTAGCTGTTATACAAAATTGTTATACTACCCATAAAACTGTTAAACACACTCATTTTTCCAACTTTTTAGGTGTTTTAAAATATTTTTTTT